CCTTAATTTCTACGGATTTCTTCTGACTTCCTGTTTGGCTATGGGACAGGAAGTGAAGGGGAAAACTCCCCAATGGCGAAAACAAAATCTAACAGGGGTTATAATCCTCCCTTGCTCTATCCAAAATGAAAAAAACTAAAGTTTTGCTGATAGTTCTACTTTAAGTAATGATCTGATACATAGAATATAACAGGATATTACCATTTATAGGTATAGTTGATCCACAGAATATCCGATTGTCTCTCGGGGGGATCAGGATGGAATTTTTTTCCCTGCAGCAAATTGGATCATGCTTTGCTGGGTTTTTTTGCCTTCCGCTGGATCAACTGTGGGTATAGGTTTATAACTCTTTTTTTTTTTTAATGGTTGAACTGGATGGACTTTTGTCTTTTTTCAGCCAGACTAACTATGTAACTATGTAACTATCTCTTACTAGTAGGTGTACCAAACCCACTTTAATGGAGTAGCTTGCAAATTATCTAATTTATTTTTATTTAAGTCACAAAAACATTGCTAAACATGATAAAAAGAATGTTAAAAGAATGAACATGAAACTATCACAAAACCCCTAATGCAGTTGCTTAATCTCATATAAAACCCCATTTGTTAAACAGTTTTTGACTCTGCTATTTTAGCTGTCTGAGCTAATATTGGTTTAGGCAACTTTACTAATTTTATTTGCAACGTCCACATATTTTGGCAGCTCTTCAATCTTGTATTAAACAAATACATTTTTAAGAAGAAAACATGAACATGACTTGACCCATGAAAAGCTGGGAAGCACATTTATGTGCAAAGCAACCCTTAATTGGCATTTGCCTAAAATTACATACCAGATTCCCTGCCCCCACCCTTCATAGTTGTCAGCAGTGCAGTTCAGTGGAATTTGTTATGCCATGTGAAGGCATATTTGCAGAGCTTATTTATGTGACCCTCACAATTTTTCCCTCAAATTTGGAGAACTAAACTGAGTATCTGTTTTCCTTGTTCATTTTGTAGATTTGGTGCAGTTAGCATAGCTCTAGTAACTGCAGAGTCAAACCTGGAAATTTGTTTGATTTATATTACATAAGAGCACAGCTTTAAGGAAGCGTTACTAGAACATATAGTTACATAGTTGAAAAAAGACAAAAATCCATCCAGTTCAACCATTAAAATAAAAAGTTATAATCCTATACCCACAGTTGATCCAGAGGAAATAAAAAAAACCCAACAAAGCATGATCAAATTTGCTCGTGCAGGGGAAAAAATTCATTCCTGAACCCCCGAGAGGTAATCGGATATTCTCTGGATCAACTTTACCTATAAATGTTAGTATTCAGTTATATTCTGTGTATCTAGGAAAGAATCCAGGCCTTTTTTAAAGCAATCCATGGAACTGGCCAGAACCAACTCTTGAGGGAGTCTATTCCACATTTTCACAGCTCTCACTGTGAAGAAACCTTTCCGCGTTTGGAGATTAAATTTCTTTTCCTCCAGATGTAAAGAGTGCCCCCTTATCCTGTTACCTCAGGGTGAATAGCTCTACACTGAGTTCACTATATGAACCACTGGTGCATTTAAACATGTTGATCATATCCCTCCCATTAATATCCTCTTCTCAAGAAATAATACATTCACTTCCCTTTAATCTTTCCTCATAGCTGATCTCCTCCATGCCTCTTATCAGTTTGGTTGCCCTTCTCTGTACTTTCTCTAGTTGCCCAATGTTCTTTTTGTGAATTGGTGCCCAAAACTGAACTGTATATTCCATATCTACTGGTTTAACTGCCCTGCGGGTTTTCCAGCCTCAAAATTGCCAACATACCTAGGTGAATTCTTAAAAGGGTAAAAGCCCTCTTCTTGACATAACCTAACCATATCCCGATTAAAACGGAACTTCACTCAAAAAGGAAAGCTCTGATTTATGTCCTCCTCCACACATACCTCCCCCCCCTTTTCTCGCAGCTTCAGGGACACATCCCAGATCCCAGAAGGCTGAAGGACCATTTACAAAGTGCAGTGGGGCTTGCGTATGTGCTGTGGAGAACCAATTATGAAGCCTCATGTGTGGCCCCCCAACATATTAGCTTCATTTTTGTAAATTTTCAGTAGTTAATTATTAAGATGGCATTAATACATTAATAAAATGTTCTACCCTTATTTTGGACAAACTGGCACTCTTCTAGAATGCTATTTTTTGGGCAACTCTTTCCCTGATTGGCAAAGTGAAAGTTTTCATTTTTGAGAGCTTTTTCCCCTTGCAATGCTAAATTGCTATGCTCCCAGTAAAAAAACCAATCTGTGTTAATTGTTAATGTAACATTAAATTGTACAGTATGTAAACCATAAAACAAAAACATTTTATTCTCATTCATGAAAGGACACAGGCTTTAGTTTTTTCTGAGACAATTTAGTTATACTGCTACCAATAGCAGGAACTGGAAAATGGCAAACAAAAAAATTTAATGAGAAAAAACAGGTTGCGCTAGAAGTATACAAATATATATCAAACAAAACTTCATCAAATAAAGTCCAAAAAAAACAAAAAGTCCAAAATAATAGTGATTCTTCAAAAAACAGGAGTGCTCAAAGCAAATGTCACCAAGCGAATCCACCACCAAAATAGGTTAAATAAACCCCCCCCCCCCCCTACTCACCAGAGCAATATGCTGATCATATTATAAATCAGCATATAGCGCTTGTTGCTCTGGGAGCGATGGTCTGTATGTAGTAGAGGTAACACTGGGAGCTTAAAAACTGGTCTCCAGGAAGTAATACTCTTCAGGACTATGTCTCACATAAATCCACTTCAAAGATTCAGCCACCAAACTCTTTAAAAATGATCAGATCGCCACTCGGGAGAGAAAGTAAAGACTCATGGTGCAGTACGTACTAAAAAACATCCAATTTAATGTAAAAATGCACTTACAACAAGCGGTGTCTATACCGACACCAGTATAAACAGCGTGATTGATAAGAACTCATATAATGCAGACCCAGCTTGGCTAGCGCATGTGCAGTACCAGTGAACCAAGAGCATACTGACATCACATCAACAAGCCCCGCCCTACGCGTTTCATCATCAATGTCCTCACAAAGCTGATGGATGTGAGACATCAGCAATTCATTATATATTCACTGCACTTAAAGTGGACAGCTGATTAGTATGAGTGTAAACACCCACCACATGATCTAAACATAATATGAAGCTGCCGCATCCATAAAAAACATACACATGGCAATAAAAACAATAAAAACAATAAACAACATGGGGAAAAAACTTTGAATAGACCCTGCATGAAATAAATGGGTCTACTATATCCAAACAAATGCAAAATGTGAATCACGAACATTTAAAGGGCCAGTATCAAAAATGCAGTATTAAGGCAGAACTCCAATGATCAAAACAATTGGTAATACATCAAACCAAAATTAAAAATTTGTGAGAAAACAATTAAGATCGATATCCACATTCAATCCATTGGGTTTCAGGGAATTTATTTCATAAATCCAGTATGTTTCTTTTTTGGAAATTTCATTAATTAAGTGTTCTTGCATGGCAAGAACACTTACTGTTATCTCACATATATATTCTTATTATTATAGCCAAATTTACCACCCTAACTCCTACCACAGTTTTTACACTACATAGACAAGTAATATACCAAAACGTGCAGATTGTTCGCGATTGGTGTGCTATTACTTTGTGTAACGTTTTGCCAAATGGTTCACAAAATATCGGCGTTTTTGTGGTGAAATTGGTCCGATAGGAATGAATGGCGGAATGTTCAAAACTAGAGTGGGAGCTGACAAAAGCTACAGTGTGAGCTGAAAAATCAGGACATGATTTCTAAACTGCCATCACTCCCTCATTTTCAAGCCCACCTACACAAATCTTATATCAAAACGTTCAGCTATCCCTGCTGCCACTAAAAATGTCAATGGCTAAGGCATAGTCCTGATAGTTTTCACAATATGACCATTTGTTTGCAACTCATGCTGCCCATTGACATTCATTGAAACTCCACTCTAGCCTCCTCAAATTTGAAGGGCAAATTTCTAAACTGCGACTGTGCCTTCATTTTTAATATTTCAGAGACATACTATGCATCAAAATGTAGGTCTGGGTCTTGTAATTCTCACAATATAAAGCTCTTCACTGTAGGATTTATAATTTTTAAACTACAACCGTCTTAAGATGGCAACCGCCAGTGAAGTGAGCAAATTGGAGCAGTTTGTTTTTAAACCGCTCTTCTCTGCCCTTGCTGTAGAGTGAGCTGCCATAGGAACCCAGGTGTGTGTGAGCAGGCAGCAGAGTAGAGGCAAGAACACTTCACACAATTTCCCCAGAAATTGTAGCTTTTCTAGTTAAATCTGTTCCTCTCCAATGTGATTTGACCATATCTATAGCATAAAAGGTCAGCAAACTCGGATCACAGTTGTGTTTTAATTTAAAATGTCTTGATACACTGTGTTTGTGGAACCCTTTTTTAATGTTGCCAATATGTTCGCCTATTCTCATTTTTAATCACTAGCCTACAGGGCACTTATACCCCCTTCCTGCCCAGGCCAATTTCCAACTTTCAGTGCTGTCGCACTTTGAATGACAATTGCGCGGTCAAACAACACTGTACCCATATGAAATTTTTATCTTTTTTTTTTTATCTTATTTTTTTTTTGTGACAGATAGAGCTTTATTTTGGTGGTATTTAATCACCTCTGGGTTTTTGATATTCTGTTAAACAAACCAAAAACCACTGAAAATTTTGAAAAAAAAGTTTTTTTCTTAGTTTTTGTTATAAAATTTTGTAATTAAGTGATTTTTCTCCTTCACTGATGTGCGCTAATGAGGCTGCACTGATGGGCACTGATGGACACTGATAGGTGGCACTGATGGGCAGTGATGAGGAGGCACTGGTAGGTGGCACTGATGGGCATTGACAGGCATCACTGATGGGCACTGAAAGGCAGCACTGATACATGGCACTGATAGGCAGCACTGATAGGTGGCGCTGACTGGCACTGTTAGGCGACACTGACTGGCACTGTTAGGCGGCACTGATGCGCACTGATAGGCGGCACTGACTGGCACTGATAGGTGGCACTGATTGGCAGCACTGATAGGTGGCACTGATTGGCATGATAGGTGGCACTGACTGGCACTGATGGGTGACACTGAAAGGCAGCTCAGATGGGCACTGAAATGTGGCATTGATGTGCACTGGTAGGCACTTATATGTGGCACTGATGGGCACTGGCACAAGGCACTGATGTAAGACACTGACAGGTGGCACTGCTGGGGCTACACTGATCATCAGGGCACTGATGATCAGTGTACATGTCCCCTCCGTGGAAAGCCGATTACCGGCTCTCCTCTCCTCTCGAGCTGTCAGCGTGACAGCTCGTGAAGAGAGAAATGCAGATAACCGGCATTTCCCTATTTACATGTGATCAGCTGTGATTGGACACAGCTGATCACATGACCGAGCCGACATCCTCGGCTCTTTCCGTGATCGGTGATCCGCTGTGTCCGAGGGACACAGCACCTCTGATCGCCGCACTGCATGCTCCCTGAGCCGCGCATGCGCAGTGAGAATGGGAGGACGTCATATGACGTCCTCTCAGAACGTGAGAACCACCTTGCGCCCGTCATATTACTATATGGCCGAATGACGGGCGGAAAATGTCTTCAGCGTTCTGGGTGGACGCCATATGGCGTCCTCCCGCACATGCGCAGATTGCGCTCCTGCAGAGCGGCGCAGCAGCGCGATTTGTGTACCTCAAACACGGCCGATGACAGATCTGAGTATCGGCCCCGTTTTTTTTAAAATTTGTTCGATGCCTTTATACTGCATATTGTAGTTGGTAATGAAACATACAGTATATTATTATTAAACTTCTTAAGTTTTTTTTTACTTAAAATAGACTCTCTATCTTTATTATTAATGAAATTTCTTTCTTTAAGGAGAAAAGTGCGATCATATCCTTTTTCAAAGAATCTCTGAATTATAACATTTGTTTGATCTATATAATCTCTATTTTTACTGTAATTCCTTTTAATCCTAGTGAACTGGCACCTAGGTGTATTGAAAAGCCACCTAGGATGGTGTCCACTCGAGACCAGTATGTAGCTGTTTTTGTCAATATCCTTAAAGAAGGTCTTGGTCAAAATACCCCCATTAAATTTATATAGTACAAGATCCAAAAAATTTATCTGACTAGAAACACTTGTCACTGTAAATTTTAAACCACCAAAATGTTGTTATTAACCATTTGCCCTCCTGAGGATTTACCCCCCTTAATGACCCGGCCTCTTTTTGCTACTCGGCGCTGCACTAATTCAACTGATAATTGTGCGGTCATGCAATGCTGCACCCAAACGAAATTTACGTCCTTTTTTTCACACAAATAGTGCTTTCTTTCGGTGGTATTTGATCACCTGTGCACTTTTTATTTTTTACGCTATAAACAAAAAAAAACAAATATTTTGAAAGAAAAACAATATTTTTTACTTTCAGCTATAAAAAATATATAGTAAACTCAAAGTTAGATTAGAGTTTATAAATTTAGGCCAAAATGTATTCTGCTACATGTTTTTGGTAAAACAAAATTCCAATTAGTGTATATTGATTGCTTTGTGTGAAAGTTATAGCGTCTACAAACTATGGTATAGATACTGCATCTTACTCCATTTTGTTTGCTATACAGCGCTGCGCTAGTTTAACGGACAATTGTGTGGTCATGCACTACGGTACATAAATGAAATTTATGTCCTTTTTTTCACACAAATAGAGCTTTCTTTCGGTGGTATTTGATCACCTGTGCGTTTTTTATTTTTTGCGCTACAAAAAAAAAAGGCTGACAATTTTGAGAAAAAAAAAAAAAACAATATTTTGGACTTTTTGCTATAAAACATGTCCAATAAAAAAAAATGTAAAAATCAAATTTCGTCATAAATTTCGGCCAAAATGTATTCTGCGACATGTCTTTGCTAAAAAAAAAAAAACCAATACGTGTAAATTAATTGTTTTACGTGAAAGTTATAGCGTTTACAAATGGCGGTAAAGATACTGGGATTTTTAATTTTTTTTTATACTAATAATGGCGGCAATCAGCGACTTATGGCGGCTATCAGTGACTTATGGCGGTGATCAGCTACTTATGGCGGGACTGCGGGGACTGCGGTGGACATTCTGACACTTGGGGGGAACCGACTTGGGGTCACTGACATCCCCAGTGACACCAATACAGTGATCAGTGTAAAAAAAAAACACTGACACTGTACTAGTGGCACTGGGGAGGAAGGGGTTAACTTTTTTTTTTTACTGAAAGGGTTAACTGTGTGAAGGGAGTGTTTTACTAGGTGACGGGGGTGTGTACTGCACAGGGGACAGCTGATCGGGAGAGATAAACTCTTCTCTCCGGCTCAGCATGTCAGGAGCTGACGGGGAACTGACAGAAAGCAGAGCTACTGCAGCCCTGCTCTCTATCAGTGATTGCCGCTAATCGGCGGGACACAGCCGGCGACTGACATCAGCGGCCGTGATCGGCGGGACAGGTAGGGCGGTGGCAAGGCTTGCGCGCACCCTGTACCTGTTTTGCAAACAAACGTTTTAAAATGTGGTTTTGCCCAGACGTGCCGCCCTGCCAACGTATTTCTACAGTAGCTGGGCGGCATGTGGTTAATATGTTCAATAAATCTGTCCTAACCTGTTCTAGGGTCAATAAATCTGTCTAACTGTTCTAGGGTTCCATTCCATATTATAATGATGTCATCAATGTACCTCTTATACAATGCCATCTCTGGCCACTTGTCATGGATACATTCCTCCTCCCATTATCCGTCACCAAATTAGCCACACTTGGGGCATATTTAGCCCCCATTGCAATGCCTTTACACTGTTGGAAAAAGGTGTTCTTATACCAAAAAAAGTTGTTATTCATGGCCAATTCCAATAATTCGATGATCAAGTTTCTTTGAGCCCTCATTAAATTAGATTTGTGTTTTTTAAGGCCCATCTTACAGCTTTGACCCCGTCTTTCTGATTGATGTTGGTATAAAGTGACTCCATGTCAATGGTTACCAACAAACAATTGTTTACATTATCCAAATCTCTTAGAATGTTAGTGAGTTCACCACTGTCCTTTAAAAAAGATCTATTGTTTATAACTATATCCTGAAGAAAAGAATCAATATATTTGCCTATTCTTGCAAAAAGGGAATTTAATCCCACTAATTATGGATCTTCCAGGTGGTTTCTCTTGATTTTTTGTGTATTTTTGGTAAGTAATAAATGGTAGGTATTTTTAGATGTTTTATCAACATATATCTAGCTTCTTTTTCACTGAGAACCCCTACTTCTTTGCCTTTTTTGATAATACACTTCAACTGTGATTTAAGTTTTTTTGTGGGGTTTCCAGTTAATTGTATATAAGTATCTTTAATTTTTAATAACCTATCCATCTCTGTTTCATAATCCTATTTATTGAGAACGACAATGCTCCTTCCCTTATCAGCCCCCCTAATTGCTATATTCTTATTCTTTTCAAGCTCTTCAATACCTAATAAAATGTCCTTGGGAGTATGATGAAAACCTTCTATAGTCATATTTTTCAAATCATTCTCTACCATATGTTTAAATACCTCCAAAAAAAACAAAAAAAATTGGTTGGCCAACCAGGTATAACTTATCCCACTCCCAGCATGTATCAACTTTATGCTAGTGTTCTAAGAAAATAAACATCTTCTGTATTGGGAGGTTTAGCTATTTTTTGCCTAGCTGCTATGCGCTTTTGGGGATTTTTTTTTTAAATCAAGACTTCATTTACATGCTGTTTAGCTTGGCTCTTTATACAGATATCTGTCTGGATAGGTGTATCCACAGCAACAGCTTTGAAGGCCATACCTCAGTCCAGCTGGATTGAAGATCATGGGGCCTGCATGGAATGTGACCTTCATGCACTGGGCTCTGCTTGTGACATTTTCCAGATATTTGTATCAACCTACTCATTCATTCTTTGACTGCATTTATGGATGAAGCCATGGTTGCCACCCAGGTTGGGCTTCAAACATGTCTGCCTTTATTCATCTCCACTCCATGATTGGTGATTGAATTAGTGTTTATACAAGAAAGATTATGTGAGGTTTGCTTGGACTTTAGATAACATGATGGTGACATTTTTACAGGTTACAGACTGGGCACTCCTTCATGTTGTGAATCAATGAGAACATTTTTGTCATCTGCTGGTGACTTGTTTTTTGCCTTTCAATCCAGTTTTTTGCATTTTAATTTATATTTTTATTTGATTACTATACAAACAGTATTAAAACACATTATATTTCCAAAAAGTACCTTTTTTAAATAAATTACAATCTCTTCCCATTCCCTCTCTCCCCCGCCCTTTCCCTCCCACCTTACCTACAACCTCCCAATCTTTTCCCTATCTGTATCCAAATCTCCTTACTATATTTATCCTTATTACTTCACCAACCCTTCTAAACTACCTCCTTTGCTCTAATTAAATCTAAGTAGGTTTCCAAAGTTTTGAATTTTATCCAGCCACTCCATATTCTCTTAAATATTCCCACTTTATCCTCTTCAATACTTCTCAGTTCCTCCACTCTAATAATATTCTCCACTCTATCTATCCAGTCTACCATCCTTGGAACCTCCGCACTTAGCCAATATTTTGGGATCAAACCCTTTGCCGCACTAATTAGATGATACAATGCTTTATTTTGATATACTTCCAAGGTGGACTAGAAATAATAAAATAAACATTTCCATGGATCTGCCTGGATGTTTACCTCACATATGTTGTAGGTTCCTTTCAATTCCCAATTCCTTCTCCCATTTTCCTAGATATCCAGGGGGCTCTACACTATCTAAATCCATAAGGATTTTATATATCCTTGAAGTAATATGTTTAGGGCTTACATCAACATTCATTAGTTTTTCAAATGGGTTCATTTCCTCTACTTCCCTTAGCGGCTGTGGAAGATTTGCAACAGAATTAGGTAACTGGTTATACCTCCATTCATCAAATCGTACAAACAAACACTTATTTTTTTTACTTTTGAAATGTGAATATTCTCCCCTCTTTTATAATATCTTTCAAATGTGTATTCTTATCTTTTATCCATCTCCCACCAATTTTAACATTCCTAGGTGCAAAAAAAAATCTGTTCCCTCTAGTGGAATCAATAGTGAATTAAATTTCCGTTTTTCCTTATTGTGTATTCTATCCCATATTTCTAATACTATTCTAGTTAATTCACGTTTCGACATCTAGTGTGCGGAAGCCATACGGTATCCAAATAATTTTCTCCAATTGTGATTTACTTAATTCCCTTTCCATTTTTACCCAGCTTTTCCCTTGTAAATTAAATGACCAATCTACTACCCTTGACAAAATAACGACTGTGTAAAAATTCTTTATATTTGGTAACCCCAGTCCTCCATTCCCTGTTGCTCTACATAACACCTCATAGCTTATCCTTGGTCTCTTATTTGCCCAAATAAATTTTGAGATCATCTTTCTA